CGCAAGGGAGCTTCCGCTTTGCTGAAGTTTCTGCTCGCGAAGACTGCGAAACTGGGACGCCGCATGTCGACCTTGAAGCACACGGCACTTCGCCGCAAGTGGCTCGCCGACAAGAAGTTGTGGTTCGAGGCTGACGGCACCGGGGTCTCCAAGTACTATGTGCGGGTGACAGATCCGAAGTGGACACGCCAGACGGCGGCTTGGCTGGCATCGCGCCCGAAGAAGAAGCCCAAGTATTTTCAGGCCAGGTCTTTCCATAACAACCTAAATGCGCTCATGCGGATGTGTCTTCCACTGTGTTACACTTGTTTTCTTTTTTTTTTGGCCTCGTTCCCTGTCAGGTCTTTGCCAGAGTCCTCGGACTGGTTTCCCGAAGCACAGACTTGCTGCTCCTCGGTTGCCTCCATGAGAAGCTTACCCCGCCATCCAGCCGTCCCCCAGCAGAAGCTGTGGACGAAGTCTTGGAGACGCAGCTCTTTCAGAGATTGCCAGATCGCAGTCATGTGGCTACAGATGCTGCCTCTGCGTGGAAGTCTGTGGTGAGGACTCATCTGGCTCATAAGAAGCTGAAATTGCACACGGTCAATCATCAGAAAAGCCAATTCACTCGCAAGATCAAGAGATCTTCTCGAGGCGTTTCTCTTGCAGGGACCCAGAAGCTGGATTCCTTATGGAAGCATCTCAAACGCTGGCGCCCTGAGAGCCTGCAGCAAAAGCTGAAAAAAGACAGCCGCTGCAATCCTCTCATTTTTGACTGGGCCTTTAGCTTCGTTGCAAAGCACAATGCGAAGGCATTGAGCTCAGATCCGCCAAAGTTTCTGGCCAAGGCTCTTTGGGATTAGTCGCGCGCAAGACACGCAAGAGTACAAAGTGCGGGAGCCGCGCGGCTGACAGGTCCGCAAATTAGGTCAAAAAACGAACTTTTCGGGGACCCCTTTTGCACAGCTCATTTCGCAAGAAGTTTGAGTCCAATGAGGCAAAAACACCGCAAATACCAGTGAATTTGCCTTCTCGCACTTCAAAACACGCAAAATGCTGTCGGTGACAGTTACACGGCTCCCAGAGAGCCGCTTGCCTAGTTCTTGCGGAGCTCCTCCGACTCCTTCTTGGAGACGATGGTGACGGACTTCGTGTCGAGCAGGGACCTCGGAAGATCTTCTTGCGGTCGTTCCCGAGCTGGTTGAAGGTGACCTGACCAGGAGATGTCTTGGCCTTGGCGACCCGGTCCCGATGGCTGTAGCCCGCCTCCGAGTTCGTGATGTCGAACGTTTCCGAGGTTCCCATCCGCTGGTTGGTCCACCACGCTGCTCCGTCCTTCCCGGGCTCAGCCTTCTCGAAGTCCACCGCCTGCATAAAGAATGATCTTGCCGGTGGGGTAGGCCACGCTGGAGTAACTCCATCGAAGGGGTAAGGCATGGCTCTTGATTCTGATGGTGCTTGTTGAGGTCCATGCAAAATGCTCGTCGTTCCGCCACTGCCTTCGTCTACCACCACGGTAGATCTTCTGCTCATGACTGGCGTAGTTGGCCTACTGGTAGGTCGCGATGAGGATGGCGGTCGAGTGCTATCACGATCTCCGGCCTCGACCTCCATGTCTTCTGCTGTTGGTTGTGGTGCGTAAGGATGTGGTTGTGGTGCGTGAGGTTGGTTCTCGGCCTCCATGGTGGCGTGATCCAACTCATCTCCGTCTACGTTGGAATCTAAAGGTGCTGGTCGTGCATGAGGTTCTTGGACTGGTGGTTGCGATTCTCCGTGAGCAGGGATGTGGCCTTGATGGGCATCTCGAACTGCCGTTGGTCATCGGGGCCACCCTCCTGCTCGATGTCGTGGTAGTGATTCAGCTTGCCTGTGTGGATGTCCTTGATCATCTCCTGCGAGAGCTCCTGGCTGAGTTCAGCACCAAGATGCTCTTCCGCAGTAGCTGGTCGTACTTGTTCACGAGAGGCCTTCACCAAATGTCCTCTCAGGCTGATCCACAGCAAGTTGCCGTTGGGGCTCTCTGCAAGGATGATTCCGGGCCCACTCCAGCCGTTGTACTTGTCCGTGTCCCGCCAGACGTAGACCCATCCACGCTGGCTTCCACACTCAGAGATGTCAAAATGAGCGGCTTCCGAGCGTTGGTGACTGGTTTTCCTGGGGTGCGCATCTGGCTGTCGGTTCCGACCGCTTCGTTTGGTCGCTAGACAAAGCGCTTCGATGGCCGTAGGGTCCATTCGATCCACACGGCCCATCAGCGTCAAAATCATCACCAGCGGGAGCGCTTGCATCGCCCCCGAAAAAAGTGTTGGTGCTGACGCCGTTCTGGTAGATAAAATGTGACGCTGCCGTGCCAGGGCTGCTGAAGCTCTCTGTGGGCGTGCTGCATCTGCCAGTCGTCATCGATGGTGATCTCGCTGCCGTCATCGAATACCACAGGTGACGTGCGGCCACTGCAATCTGCGGGCACAATCATAGGCAGGCGCCCACCGTGTAGATCTTGCACAACAACTTTATCATTCGCTCGCTGAAGCCACACCGACACCATAGATACTGTCGCTGATGAAGTGTGGGATGGAACCACAAAAAGGTCCAGGTCCGGGTCCTTTCGCATCTTGGTTGGCAGGTTCCAACCGTCGGGGTGGTACTGCAAAGCCAATGACGCACTCGCTCTTCTGGAAGTCGGTGATGGTGTCCATCGTCTCCAGGGAGCTGTCTCAAACTCCCCGACGCTCCCCGGTGTCCTTCAACACCGTAAACCTGAGGATGCAGTTATGGCCAGCAACGCCAATCGGTACATCCATCATTCATTGCACCAGCTGCTCCGCCAATGCCTCCAGCGCCAGGAAGTTCCACACCAGTTGCTGGGATGGCACGCAACCCCATGGCCCAAAGAGAGCCATGTAGCTTGTTCATCGCGTTCGATCCGATCACAGCGTCCTCGGCCGCGGTGTCCACCAAGGCCTCACTCGGCCTGCATCGAACTCCTGCAAATACTGCAAGTCGCCTAGGCTGGTTGTAGTGCATGAAGACTGCAGGAGCATTGGAAGGGTGGGCACCAAAGACGAAGGTCCGCTGGGTCTTGTCGGAAAAACCTTTCGATGAGCCTGTAGTGGATGAGGTTTTCAAAGGGCAATCTCTGGCAGTTGAAGCACCGGGTGCGGTTCTGCAGGTCGCCCATGTTGCCCTCAAGCCTCCGTCATCGGATTTCCCCTTTCGGCTGAATTTGGACTTGCCACCCTTGCTCCATTTTCCCTTTTAGAAACTCCTTTTTCCTCCAAAGCGCATGTTGTAGCTGTCGCGCTTGGTGCAGCCGCGCTCGTTCCTCCGCCGTTGCAACTCCTTTCTCACATCCCGGTAGGCCGAGTGGTAGGCTTGGATGTAGTTCGCCTCGGTCCCCAAGTACTCCCAATCCTGCAGGTACATCGGGGGTTGCCCTCGTCATCCACGAGAGATTCTTCCTCCGCGCCCTCGTTCTCATCCTCCTCACGGATCGTCCTCCATGGTCATCCGCATTAGCGTGCTCGGGGCTCGTGAAGTAGGCTCCCCGAGGTCGTCCACCAGCATTGTCAGGTCGAGCAAGTGCTTCTGGCCTGTCAAGCGGTCTGAGCATGTTGGCCACCTCATCAAAGGTCCGCATCATCGGGCCTTTCAAGCTGACGAGTTTTGTGTGGAGCTCGTTGAGGCTGGCCTGTTTCAAGAGGATCCGCCCGCAAATACTTCTCCAAAAGCTTCGAGAGGATCGCCGAGTAGCCCTGCGGCGATACGCCTGGGCTGAGAGCCCTCCGGAAAGCTCTGCAAGAGCTTGATGCCTCTTTGTCCTGCGGGATCTGCCTCTCATGCTCCCACCGGTCGTAGCTCCATTCCAGCAAGGAATTGGCCTCTTCTTGCCGGAGAGGGCCTGGCTCAGCGCCTGTGCTAGAAGGGCATCTCCCGATAGTCGTCCTGGTAGATGAGCAGCGTTGTGACCTCCCAGGGAAGGCTTGCCCAACATGTCCATCGCAGAATGAACTACTCGTTGAGGATGTCCAGAAAGGCCAGAGCCTATGGCTGAGGCAAAAGTAGCTGCGTTCATCTGGGTGCCGGAGTCCACGTTTGTGGTGGGCAAAGGATTCGCATTGGGGCAAGGGGTGTTCAAGCCGTAGGGCAAGTCCTGGGTGTTCGCGCCGAAGGGCACGTTCTGATACGTTCTGGGCATGCGTGCCGGTGTGCACGTCCGGGGCGTTCACGCCAAATGTCAAGTTCTGGGCGTTCATGCCATAGAGCAAGTTCGGTGTGTTCAAGCCGAAGATCGCGCTCTGGGCATTCATGCCAAAGGCCTCGCCGTGCTCGCTGAGCTCAGTCCAGGTGGAGTCCAGCCGTTGTCGCCGCGGGTGTCCTCGCGGATGCGTCACTGCGGCCTTGGTTCCGCATCGGATGGCAAGGCCATCAGGTAAGGCTCCGCTCACCACTGTGGGTGAGCAGTTTATCGCTCTTTTCTACGGGGCGCAGCCGATACAGCTCAAGGCCTGTAAAGACAATCCAGACCAACCCAAGACTCATAAGTGGTTTCCTCACAAAAACAACCAAACAAACATCCAACCATGCAAACAAAGACGCACAAAAAAAAGAAGAAGCAACCAACCAACCAAACAGAAAACATGCAAACACACGAACAAACAAGCAACACATACAGGCAACCCAAACAAACAAGCCAAACCAAACAACCAAAAAACCAACCAACCAACCACACAAGCAAACAAACAACCATGCCAACAAGCAAACAAAGCAAGCAACCAACCAACCAACCAACCAAACAATGAATCAAACAAGCCAAACAAACAAGCAAACAAGCAAAGACACAAACCAACCAACCAACCAACCAAGCAAGCAAGCAAGCAAGCAACCAACCAACCAAGCAAGCAAGCAAGCAAGCAACCAACCAAGCAAACAAGCAACCAACCAACCAAAACCAACAGAAAAATACAAAACACACACACACACACTAAGACGCACACACAGTTGAAGCTCTCTGAGTTCCCTGCTTGCAGCAGTCCGTGCTTTCAGTGAGCGCTTGCACGCCTCCCGCCATGCGATGGGACACCCAAGGTTCCTTGAGGTCCGCAAGCATCACCAAATTTTACTTGTTTAGCTGAACCAGAACAAAGCAGCACCCATACTCTTGTTGATGACCTGGTGTTTTCCTTGTTGTTTTGTCAAGTCAGAACGTAGCAGAAAAACAACTGATCTTGAATTGCTTGGAGGGCAGCGGGCAATAGCGGGCAACCGTCGGTCTAGCCCAAATCCAGGTCAAACCCTCCATCCCAGCCTTCCCTGCAGGCACAGTGCACGAAAGCACTCAGCACCTGTCAAGCGTCTGGCCTTTGTCCCAACATCTGCTCCCCCTGCAAAAGCCGCCAAATGCACAACGAGGAACCTTCGTTTGTTTTTTTGTGTATGGCCGCCTTCTCATACCCTATTACCATAATCCCCTCTAACACATATCACACGAATCGTTTTAGTGGCACCTCACTAAGTACGTTACTAAGTGCGCGATGACGCACATCGATGCATATTCTGGTCAAGGCAAGGGACTACCAGCAGGCAATATAAGCAGGCAGAAAAGGGTCGAATTGTTTAGCATGGAGCCACGCAGCCCGCCCCACTATTCAATCTCGAGAAGTGTGGATGGATGTGCTTGGGGTGATGTGTCTTTGGGGGGGGGGCGGGTCCCAAACAAAAGGGTGCGAACCACACTCGTTTGCTTTGTCCGCTTCGGCAAAAAATCCTCGCCCGGCGCACGTTCCAGTGGCTGGAGTGCTTGGGGAGCGTTTGCCTCGGAGTAGCTCTCTCTTCTCTCGCTCTCTCGCCCTCTCTCTCTCTCTCTCTCTCTCTCTCTCTCTCTCTCCCTTTGTCGCTCTTTCCTTCCATCAAATGAATATCTTCACAACCCTTGGCATGGTAGCAAAAACCTTTGTTCTTTGCAGCCCCCTACTAAACATGTACAGAACCAAACGACCACAAAAACAACTTGACAAGAACATTGAAGAACAAGTTCTTGGTTGCTGTAACGACCCTCTGCACAAAGTTGAAAATTAAGTCCAATTCGGCAAGTCCGAATTGTTTCAACCAAACAGATCCAACCGAAATTGCTATGAAGAGTTGGTCTTACACAATTACACACTTCATTCATCTTGCCCTCAAGAAGCTCTTGGGAGTTGGCCATCCGCTTGCATCGGCCTCCAAGCATTCTTCCAACAAAGGGGTGCCAAAGTAACCATGACGGGCGTCGGGCTGCACAGCACAAGGATCTTGCCAGTTTCCTGGTTGCCTGGTTCCTTTCCCTGCCCCTGACAAACTCCTGGTATCTCCGAAAAGGCTCTCTGAGGCAAATTTAGACACACCCAGCTCCCTAACGTCCTGCTCCCTTCCAACCACCAGACACGTTCTTTTTGGTCTTGGGGGGTATGTTGATTACCGTCCCGCCTTTTCACAGTAAGCCCGTTCGGGACCCGGTCCCTTGAAAAGGAAAATGGCCCAAACCAGAAGCCCCCAACACGTCGAAGGGCTCCAGCGGAACTCCGAGGCTAAGACCAGCAGGACCTCGGAGACCAGGAGACCCCCCCCTTCGGGTTGATTCTACATATCCTTGACACACACACACACACACCGACCCACTCATCCACAAAGAATCAGAAGGGAGACAACAAACACAAAATGGTGTTCGACGGTGCCATCAAAAAAGCAACAAAAAACACAACCACGAAACATAACAAGCCCCTGTTGCAGCAGTTTCACGGCCAGTTTTGATAACTGGCTAAACACGTGCCTGATGTATGTCGACCCGTTTCCGCGAACTAGGAATGGTCAGTCAAAGCACTTTTTATTGAGGTGTCTCTTCAAACAGGGGGCGGTTCCCTGGAGGATCTAGAGGGCCTGGCGCAGTACCAAGCACCGGGTGCGAGTAATGACGTGGGTTTGATAGGCACTTTCGTCAACACGGACACTTTCAGGGACTATACTCTATTAGTTACTCTATTCAAGCGACATCCTCCAAGAATTGGTTTTTCTTCGCGTGGATGCTTTTGATACCTGGATTTTTCCGGACTCCCCATTATCCCCATGTTTTGCTGGAAGCAGAGAAAGCGGTGTTGCCGTAGAGGCCCAATTGTTGAGTGGCACCAAAGGCGAAGCAAGTTATTTCTTGAACTTACGGTAAAACCTCTGAACTCCCACGATACTCATTGGTTATTTGCTCCTTTTTTAGGGCAGCCTGTTTGAGGTGTCTCAGACTCTCAGAAGCCAGACTTTGATTTTGCAGCCCCCTACTACAAATGAACAGAACCAAAAGACCGCAAAACCAGTGAACTTGTACCGTCCAGCCACCAACGTAGAACCCAACACCAGTGGGGGGGGGTGCTGCATCCCTTTCCATGCGTACTGATTGCTAGAGCGAGGGGCCAGTATTTTTGCAGCACAGCATTGGCGTCGAAGAAGTCCGTCTCGTGGCAGGTCCGCTCCAGCCTGAGCCATCAAAACTCCCGTGCCCGTGAATGGAACCTGCTTCCTCAAAAACAAATTTCCGGTACCTTCCTTCCAAAGCTTGCAGCCAATAACGCTTGCACCCTCCAAACAAACCTGGCAGAAAGGCCCAAATGGTACCAGGGATGCGGTAGCGACGCTGCTTTGGATGGCTTAAGCAGGAAGTCAGAAGCAAACCAGCCGCCAGACCGCAAACTGTGGATGGATGAGCTCCTGCACCACCCAAGTAAAATTCTGAAATGATGTTCCCCCTGTAGCTACCAAAAACCATGGCTTCCCATGGCTTCATTTCGTGGGGCAGGAACTCGTCCATCCACAGTATGGCTGAACTTGAAGGGCAAAAGCGAGTGAGCCAAGCACATGGGTGGCTGTCGGGTTAATGTTGCTCTTGTATAAAGCAAGCCAATTCCTGGACCATGGAACATTGAAACGGTTTTGCGCGTCACAGCATCAGCCACTGGGACTACTTGGATGTCTTGACCTTCATGGCGCTTGGCAAATATGATTTGTTCAGGGAGCAGTGCTCAGCCGGGTTACCAAAGCAACAAATTGGGTTGAAGAGCCCTTGTTGCCGTAGCTTGGTGGTCATGGAGGAGAAATTCCTGCTATCTGCTCTTTACCCCGGCTGCGCAGCGACACTCTATCGCTGAATTTGATTGAAACGAAACGTGGCTGCGGCAGGGTCCGGGGGCTGCAGGTCCGGCCGCTCCCCGAGTTCCAGTTCCCAAGTCTTCCAGAAACTGGCTCAGCCCTCCTCTAATTCCAATCTATTGAAGCCCGTTAAAACCAAGCAACATAGCTACCCAAACACTGGGCTTGCCTAGTGTTTTGGGGGAGCCCGCGAAATGATTCGGTGGATGGCCCTCTGGCTGCTTCTAAACCAACCCCAAGTAGCACCAAGACGCAACAAAATCGACTGCGGGCCCCCGTTTGAGGCCACAGCTCGCCGCTTCTGGTGAGATTCTCTGCGTGCCCCAGCATACCTTGAGCCCACAACAAAAGCAAAACACCTGCACACTGACCTGGGCTGATCTTCTTTGGCTTTGAAAATGACTCAAGTTGCCCAAAGGACCTGAGAATAGAAGGCTGTCACCGTTGGGAACTTTTACTAAAATGGGCCAAATCAGGAAAACAAAAAGGTCAAAAAGTCGGTTTTGAACAACTGAACAAGATCAACACGCCTCCAACAACTGAGGTGATGCCAGCAAAGAAAGATTTGCCGAAGGACGGGCTTTCTCAAATGAAATAAGGCCCCACGCTTCTTCCAAAAGGGACGAATAGCTGGTCCTTCTCACAGGCCGCCCTTTCTACAGTCCAGGTGATCAAAGCGCTGGAAATCCAGCCAAGGGCCAAGGGCTTTCTCAGGTCCTGGTTGGTTCCAAATGGGGCAACCGAATCCATACGTGGGACACAAGGGGGGAAGCCACCTCTAGAGGAAAGAAAAAAGGAATGAGACCCAGGTAAAGCAAAGAGCAAAACCCTCCCCAAACGGAACCTGAAACAAATGCCCAGGCGTCTCCCGAGCCATAACTGGACGCGCGGGGCCCCGAGACGGGCGTCCCTGCACTTCATCACCGGGAAGCACTTCGTGGGGTTGCAACCTAAGCGAGGCGGGGTTCGCCAATAACATCGCACGCCGTCGCCGTGGAGGCGCCAGGGGGCCCCAACAGAAGTGTGGTTGTCAAAACCGTTTTGGTACCATGTTGGTTGGCAGGTGCACCACCCATTTTCGAACCTACTTTAGTGGGGATTGGGATGTTCACCGGGGGTACGGGGTTTGACCCATGGCCAAGAAGGTCGGCAACAGTTGATGCGCCTTTTTCTGGGCTGTGCTAAAAATTAACTTTTAGTGGCTTAAATGGCCACCCACCCACTAAACCAACGAAAAAGCCATAAGCCTAAGGAACTGGATGGCTGGGAGCCACCGCTTGAGCTGGCTTTCTGAGATTCTGGGTGCCAGGGCGGGTACAAAGGTTCCCTGGGATGATGTATTCCTGGGCCTCGAAGCACATGGCCGGGCACTCCTGCCGAAAGTTCTCCGCTTGACACCGAACGACATGAAAGTTAAGCTTGCCGCTGGGAGCGAGCGACTGGAAACATCAATATATATATATATAATTATCCAACGAAAATCAGTTAGTGAAATAGTGGATGTAATTGGAGCTCTTTTGGTTTGGTTGATTCCAATGTGGGTAACTCAAACCAGGGATTCGAGATACTTACAGGGTACGGCTGCACAACTGCCACATTACAGGTCAATGAAGGACACCTTGGTGGACATCAAATTTACTTTAATTAGCATGGATATGCATTTTCCTCCATGCTTTTTTTTCAGGGTGCTCCCTGCTAAAAGCAATTCCACAGGGAGCACCTCGGCATGTCAAAACATGAACCGCCCCGGCTGTCTTACTTTGTCACCACTTGACTGCGAGTGACCCTTTGCAATGAACCCTTGGCTGTTGACCCGCCCCTTGTGGTGCTCCTGAATAGCCTGAAAAGGGACATTTGAGAGAAATATGGCCATGGGTCAGTCAAAATTCCGTACCCCCAGTCAACATCCCAATCCCCACTAAAATAGGTTCTAAAATGGGTGGTGCACCTACCCCAAAATGAGATCCCATTGGTTTTGACCCACAGCCATATCCATCCAAAACCCATTCGACGAACGAGCGTGCCAAGTCCTCGATGCACTGCACGGCCAGGGCACTGCTGCAATCCGGCTCGCAGTCCTCGGCTTATCTTATGTGCCAACGCCAGCGCGCGAGCGCGGGGGCCCAAAAACCGCAACTGACTTCTCATGTTTCTAGGGAACACTTTCATTTCCATTCTTTCCTAGAAAACCTCCGGCACCCCAGGGAAACAGCGTTCGGTTGTTGACAAGAACGATGGTTGAAAAGAATGGACAAGGAGTCAACCCCTAGAATGTTGGCCAACATGGCTGCAAAAGTTCCATGTTTATGGCCTGACTGTGATCCAAGGGCAGGACATCCCGGCTAAGCTACCACAGCTCTTGTTCCTTACCCAAAAACATATTCCTGATTCTGGCCCAGATTCAGCAACCATAAAATGAAAGAAACAAAGCAACAAAGATCCCAGCCAGAAGTGTCACCCCCCCCTCCCATTCCCCAAGTCAGCAAGTCTGCCCTTGGGCGTCGCACCAGGCCACACCATTGCTGAAAACTTCGGTGCTGGCAGCAGCTGAGGTCCTCAATGGCCTCAACCAGAAGTCCCAGACTTGGAGTCGAGCGGGGGGTCTGGTCCGGGGGTTTGGGAAAACTGTACGAACACCAAACTGGCGAAGGGGCGCCGCCCGGGACCCGCAAAAACCATACCCGAAAAAAGAGGGAAACCGCGCCATTTGGGGGCAATCAACCAATTGGTAGTTTGAGGGTCCAGGCTGTCAATCCCTGCACTTGCTACAATTCGGAAACTGACCGGTATCTGATGAGCAACTGTAGTGTCCGGGGTACACCTTCAATCCTGTGAGCTCCCTACATTTCGAACCCAAACATCAATCCCCTTAAATAGACCCAACATTTGAAAGCCAGAGTTCAGGCAACGGGCTTGCTTTTTTGGATGACTCAAAGCCCCTCCTACCCATTTTGGTCAAGCCCTCGCGCGAACCCGGACATGCTGCGCCTGCGACATATTCAGATCGCACCTCGGTGAACGCAATCGAAAGCACAGCGTTGCAACTCGCCATTGACCACTGAATATGGATGACTATGGTCTAGGAAATTGCATTTGGCCAAGAAATCCATGGGGCCTTGCCATCCATTTTGCGATGCCAAGGGAATCCACTTGAGAATGACAAAGTCATAGGGATCCCACCTCTCGGCATCACAGGTCACAGGGAGGCAGATGTTCCATGCCGCATGCTCAGCACCTTGCCAGCAATCTGCCCAGGCTGCGTGCTCCGCGCCTGGAATTCCCCAATCCTTGGCAGCTCATAGTCGAATGTGGGAGCTACAAATGATTGATTTCAGGCACGCTTCCTTTCAAAACCGGCCTTTTTGGGGCCAAAGCAGTTCCAAAATACAACCTAAACAGAGACAAACAAACAAAAAAGAGTCAAGTGCGCTCTGCGCTAAAACCACTCGCTGTGGCAGCGGCATGGGTAGAATTGGAAGACATCTTTCCTGCTAAACACCTGCCGGTTTCAGCAAGCGGATGTTTCAAGCTGCTTGGGTGTCTTCCTCATTGGAACCAATGAATCAGCTTCCCTCTATTTGGCGGGTTGAGCCCGGGGGTTTGGTGTTCCAGAGGGGCTTCCCTTTTACCTTTTACCCTCTACAAGAACCAGGGGTTCAAATCCAACTCCAAACCACCGCTCCAGTTTCACCAGCCGGGTACAGACTGCCGGCCTGTCATAGTCCACCAGCGAGGGTGTGGGCAGGATCCGTGCTCCCCGGGCCTTGCACCTGCCAGCAACATGGATGGAAGAAATCCATCTGCTTCTCGAAAAACCATTCGGAAACCCTGGTGTTTGATGACTCACTCCCCTGCAAATATAAAACACTGGCTCTGGTTCAAAAACCATGGTTTCGTGGGTGTGAAATGGAGTTCGTCCATCCACAGTAACACAACTGCCACGGCACAATTCCAAAAAATAACGCCTCTCCGGGTTCTGCATCGCACTTTTCCAGAAGGCAACCAACAAGAAAGAAAAGGGAATGGGAACATGGCGACTGAGTACCTGAGAATTTTCAAGAGGTGTCCAGGGTGCAAAGGTTGTTTGTTGTTCTTAGGCAACCCTCGCATTTAGCATGCGGAGGTTTCATCACCTCGGGTCAACATTGGCCAGGGCTGCCGGAGAAGAAGGGAGAAATGTGCTTTCTCTGACATGCCAAGGGCTGAGAAGAACGTCATATCATGTGCGCATATATATATATATATATATATGGCTGTGCTCAAATTAAAGAGCTAGGGTTACGCAGGTTTTAGGCTTTGGTTCCATTTACCAAGGTGCCAATTTGGTACATGTTTCTGAGCCACAGCCACATATATATATATATATGCATTATCTGTTGCACGTACATTCCTGCGTTGCCGCGCACCACTGGGATCCACTGGGAGCCCGGCTCATCATCGTTGCCTGCAAGAGAGAAACCACACAGAGGCCGTCTAGACTGGGCATCCTATTCAGCAAGAGGGGACTTGTCAATGCCGGGCGACCGTCATCCATGACCTACTTGACCGCGATGGCCAACTGGCCCAGTTGGCCCCGAAGTGCAGAAAACGACCGAGACAATGAACACCACTGTTCTAAAATCATGTGAAACATCGCCGAATCGCCAGCTGGCATTACCTGGCTGGCGTGTGGGATGCCAGTTGCTTGTGGAACCGCTTCCTACATACTCCATCCTCTGGCAAACGCTGCCCTTGTGCTGAAAGCTAGTTTTGGGGTGCATGCCTTATCCAGCTTCTGCATTCTGTGCAAAACATCCCAAGAAAACTAGCAGGTTGCATGCGTCGGCACCTTGAGCCTTTACGAATTCACCTTTTGAACGCGCAGGTTTCGCCCAAACGCCCCCCAATGTAATCCAAAGATCTGCGGCTTCTTTTCCATGCTCGTGTTGTTTGAGTAGAATGCCGGATGTCAACTTCCACATAGCACTCGGCGCAAGCACCCTACCTCGGCATCTGGTGACACAACTCTTTATGACCAGGGCCAAAGGCTTGCTTAAAGAGAATGAAGCCCTATGAATACTTGGCAAACCGCCTAACGACTGATGTTTGGGGCAGATTGTGTCTACTGTAAATTGCATCCACCCACGAAAATCCGAACAAAACGTCGCACACCTTGAAGCCGACGTAGACTTGTGACGCCCGAGCTCTCGGCCCCGGCCACTAGGGCAGCCTGGGCATTGCAATTGGAACCCGAGCACATCATACACACGTCCACACGTCACACATGCATACATACACAGAAAACGAATACGTACATCATTAGCAGAGGAAGTTCAAAATAAACTTCCGTGCCACTGACACCTTGACGGTAGTTTCGTGCCGCACACATGAGGAAGAACTATTGAATGAATGCGTGCGAGAACACTTTCGTGGGTTTGGCAAGGGACAAGAAATTGGAAAAGAGCAGCCCTCGGCGGGTTGTAGCGTCTTCGGATGGCTGAATGCTGCCTCGGTCGCGGCGCGCGCGTTTCGCAGTGTCAGTTTTGCGTGGAGTCGGGCTCTTCTGCAAGCTGACGTGCAAACTGCGTGGCAGGCGCGGCACTTTTGTGGGATTGGTGATCAGTTTTCATGACAAGCGAAACACTTTGGCAGCCTAGGGTTTATGTTTCGTTGCAGGTTTAGCAATGCTGCCAAGGACTTGCCGCACTAGCCCTTGGCACGGACCTGCGCGGTGTCACACGCAGATTTCGTGGCAGGCGCGGCACTTCCGTGACGGACAGGTGGAGAAACGCATAGATCCATAGACAGGCACACAGACAGACAGACAGACCGATAACGGGATAGATAAAGGGACTAGCAGATACATAGGTAAACAGACAGACAAATTATAGATTGATAGCCCATTCATGGCAAGAAAAACAGACAGTTAGATAGATAGGCTAGGTAGATAGACAGCAGATAGCAAGATAGATCGGGTTAGATGGTTAGATAGATGGATAGATAGATAGGAATCTGTGGCAAAATAAGGTACTCGGACCGGGAAGTTTTGATGCGGGGTACAGGGGCTGGAACTTCTGTTGCGACATTAGGTTGTTAGCTTTGCACGGGTGGTCACAGGGTCACGTGCACACGCAAAAGGTCTGGTTTGATGTGTGGTCGTAGCAATTAGAAATTAGAACTAGTAATTAGTAGTGGTAGCAGTAGGAGAAATAGAAGTAGAAGAAGAAGAAGAAGTAGTAGTAGTAGTACTGAGTAGTAGTGATAGTAGTAGTAGGGGGAGTAGTAGTAGCACCAGTAGTACGGCCAGCACTTGTGGTTTGCCCGGAGACTCCCTCCCGCGTTCAGTAGTAGTAGTAGTAGTAGTAGTAGTAGTAGTAGTAGTAGTAGTAGCAATAGTAGTAGTAGTAGTAGTAGCATTTGTAGCAGCAGTAGTAGTAATAGTAGTAGTAAAAGTAGTAGTAGGTAGTAGGTAGTAGGTAGTAGGTAGTAGGTAGTAGGTAGTAGGTAGTAAGTAGTAGGTAGTAGGTAGTAGGTAGTAGGTAGTAGGTAGTAGGTAGTAGGTAGTAGGTAGTAGGTAGTAGGTAGTAGGTAGTCGGTAGTAGGTAGTAGGTAGTAGGTAGTAGGTAGTAGGTAGTAGGTAGTAGGTAGTAGGTAGTAGGTAGTAGGTAGTAGGTAGTAGTAGTAGTAGTAGTAGTAGTAGTAGTAGTAGTAGTAGTAGTAGTAGTAGTAGTAGTAGTAAGAGTAGTAGTAGTAGTAGTAGTAGTAGTAGTAGTACCTGGTGTTGTGAAGGGGGTATTGTTTTGGAGGTATGATTCGTGGTATGGTTCGCACCTTAAAAAGGCACACGCTGATAGATAGACAAATAGATAGATGGACAAACAAATGGCAAGATGGATCGGGCTAGATGGCTAGGTGCATAGATGGATAGATAGACAGATGGATGGAACAAGACTAAAGAGAAAGAGACCGAAAAAGAGAAAGAGAGAAAGAAACAGAGAGAGAGAGAGAGAGAGAAAAAGAGAGGAACGGGAAAGACAACGAACACTGAGAATGTAAAAAAAAAGTAAGAGAAAGAGAAAGCAAAGAGAAAGAGAGACGGAGAGAGAAGGAGAAAGATAAAGCATGCAAAAAAGAGACAGACAAGTATAAAGAGAAGGAGCGTAACAAGGAGAGAAAGAGAGAAAGAGAAAGAGAAAGAGCAAAAGCGAGAGAGAGAGAGAGAGAGGGTGAGAGAGAAAGCGAAACATCACTATAGTTCTTATATGTTTCAAGCTGTCGCCAGCCGTCTTCACCGGCTCTACTGGTAGACATTTGTATAACGTGTACGCCAATCATTGTTGTCTCGTTAAAACTCAGGTTCCCCCTATTCAAATTCAAGCTTTCACGGGCACACTGATGCCGGCAGCCCAGAATGATCTACGCAGTCTGGGGCTGTGACCAGGGCGTATAAAGACCGCCCAGGATGGGGGGCCATCCTTAGCAACAGCCACCCGTCGAACGTTGGCATACGTCTCAAGATGTGAAGACAACCAAGTCATTTTCCCGCACGCTTCATCCAAGCGGTGAGCTGTACACTGGATCCGTCGCATGGAGCTAGAGCACCCCCTCAACTTCCATTTGCTGAAGCCCCTGGGAAAAAATATAAGTATGTCCAGCAGTGGTAAGTTCCCTTTGCAACCAACCTGGGAAAATAAAACATATTATTAAGCAAATGGAAGTTAATTCCCCGCGTCAGGCAGGCAAAACCCTCACGCCCTGGCGCCCTCACGCCCCAGCATTCTGTGCAGCGGTGGCACCTGAATCACCTGCGCTTGCCAGGTGACTCTGGTCAGTCACGTGGAAAGAACGCACTCCATGAAAGTGACATCCTCAAATTTGGACTTCAAGTGGTGGTTTCATGGGAACCCCCGAAACCGACTAAATGAGACCACCTGAAATGCACCCACCTAGAACCCAAGAAAAGAAACCGAAGCCTCCGGCGCGCTGCAGACCTGCTGTGCGCCGCCATTGCTTCAGCAGACTTTCGCTGAGCCTCGTCGACCAGGACGCGCTCAAAACATATTCTTACCAGGGCTGTCCTCAGATCCCCCGCTAAAAGTTTAGCTTTTAGTGGGTTACATGGACATCCCCACTAAACACTACAAGGCTAAAAAGCTATATAAGGGGATGGCTGGGAGCCACCAAGTTACAAGTTCTAAACGCATCTCGGACATGCGAGAATTCGGACGTCTCCCCGGTTCTCTTGAGAAACTCTGTGAGTCCCTTGCGGTTGATTTGGACCACAAACAAAATTCCTGGAGCCTTCTCAGCTTTGCAACCTCCCCCCCCTTTCCGGAACCCCGCCTGGCCACTTCGCGCGATCCTCGGCGGTAAATAGGGGGGGGGATGGGACCCCCGACGGCGTCGTCCCCCTGGTGACAAGGCCCCTGTTAAACAGCCCAGACACACACACACATGTTTTAGGCCAGGATCTCACTGCGAACAGGTTCTAAGCCGAGCTTGCGGCCATATGACTCAGAGCCATAGCAAGGGGAGCCGTCAGAACTAATGGGCCATGACCTATGGATCCCATGAGTGGGTCTTAGCGCCCAGCTTGGCCTGTGTGAACTGCAACTCTTCACGGAAACTGAACAAGAACAATATTTGACGTTGAAGGTTCATGGCTGTTTCAAGTATGACCTCCCTCCGGATAGGAACAGACAATCAAGCAGCGAAAGCACTCAAGTCAATAACAACAAAGCACACAGCAAACCAAAAACAGTCATTGGGCAGAAACAGCTAGTTTCAGTCCGAAACTGTGGCTTGTCAAGGCTTTGCAGGTGCTTGTTTTGATGTTGGTTGGTTTGGATTAGGTAGGTACTACTGTGAAACAAAGCACACGTCGTGTTGGGCTGAAACCAATTACCTTCCAGGATTCCAGAGCTATGGTTGTGCGCTAGCCTTTGTCCAATCATGGAACTTGGGGGCTTCCCCAAAAGGACAGCTTTCGTCTGAAAGCCTATGAGCCTCCATGATTGGAGGGAGGGTAATTCTTACCTGTGTTTATTTCTTGCTGCTTTAGCTTTCTCCGAGTTTTGAATGTTGTTTGTTTTCTTTCTTTCTTTTTCTGAAGGTTCTGGTACAACGTTCGCTGAAAACTGTCTCCGGGAGCGATGCGCTTTGCCGTTGCCTCTAGCGTGCGTTTGCATCTGCGTTCTCGAGGCCGCCGGTTGATGACGGATTGTGCCAAGTAGTTCTCATGTTCTCAAATGCATCTGTCGAACAAAAGACCGGTGTGCTTGATCCAGCCTGGCAAGAGGCTGTCTCTGCTTCCTCTCTGCGTCTGTGCGGAGTCCAGTCAAAGACTTAGATCTTGCAGACGGGGTCCCAGACAGCTCCCCAAGGCCCCCAAAACCTATGCTGTTTACCTTCTGAACATCGGCCATCTCTGGAGAGAACAAGACATATTCTAGGATTATGCAAGGTCCTTGGCAGACACATACCTGGCACATACTAGAAAGCAAACAGAGCCGCATTGTAGCAAAGGACGGAACATATTAGACATTTGCTAGGAACATGCTACACAAATGCGACGTTCAAGAATTATGCCAAACATATGCTGGACCTACACTAGAATCATAGTAGAGCAACGCCGCACACACGCAAAATTCATATCCGACATGCACAAGATAATCACGGGGTTAAACAACACTAATGTGTTAAACAACTATCATGCGTAGAACAATCTTAGTAAAGTAGAGTAGTAGAGGTAGACTGCTTGTAAACTAGCAAGTGATCTAGAACTATACTAGAAAACTGAGAACACAAGCTGGACATATTGCAAGATTGAGCTGAAGGTACTGCATACTCAGCGCTACGTGCAGGTTGCACCGAATACCATCAAACAGCGCGTTCAAATCAGTATGCTGGCCAGCTGAGTCTACTGACCAAACAAACTCAACAAAATGCGCCTTGGTCAAAATGATAATGCAACCAGCCAACAACAAGTTTACAGTGTGTAATCAAGACATACCCACAGTGAAGGAGAAAACAATAAAAGAGACAAAGGCAGAGAGAGAGATATGGAGAGAGCGAGAAGTAAGCCTTACAACATGAAGTGCAGGTAGCTGGCAGCTGACTTCACTGGCCCGCCCCTTCACTTCTGGACGCTACACCTGAATCTCCTTTTGGGTGGCGATCGGACTCCAAGTTCTATTTGAGGATATGCCGGGTTCTTGGGGGCAGGGGTCCAAGATAAATAAAACGACCCCTGGCCATTGGAAGGGTCTGACAAAACTCGGTTGCTTTCTGCTCCCCTGCTAAAAGCCAACTTTTAGTGGCTTAATGGAAAACACATTGGTTGAAAAAAAGTTAAAGTCCTAACACCCAAGCAAAATGCACCAAAGAAAAAGTCTCGCAGGTCGAGCTCAGCCCGAGAGTCGATGCTGGCGCCAGGTGGGCTTGGCGAGCTCCCTGCCTCATGGGATGCCAGGGGCTTGACCCAAATCCCGAAAATCCCCGCCCTCGGGCTTCCTTTTTGGGAAGCTGTGTATGAAGAAGCCTGGGCTATTTGGTTGCTTTTGACTTTCGGAAGGCCCACCCCCCCCCCCCCCCCGCCAAGAAAAAAAAAGAACAAGAAAAGGACAATGGCTACTTGGCACACAGCAGCTGAAGCCCCAAACTCCTTCGATCCGAGCTTGGCGCCGATCTTCGTTGCCCTCAGCTCAGCCACGCCCACCTCGAGCTTCTGCAGGGCACGGAGGATCTCCACTGCCTTACAAACTCACGGATGCCCCGATCGAAATGTTACAAAAGCCCTTGTGGCTGGGTCCCGGTGACCCCTTTGGTAGAATTCGGTAGGATGGTTAGTGGATACCATCCCCACAGCCCTACCCTCCCCCACACTAACATGGAAGCTCCCGGGACCTCTTTGGAAAACTTGTTCCATTGACAGAGGCCTTCTGAGAGCTTCGAAGTTAGTCTGAGGGAGTGCAAGCGCACCATACCGCGAAGGGACGAATCCATTTCGCACCACTTTGAAGCCAAGGCAGAAACCATTGTTTGTTGGTATTTGCAGGGGAATCGGACCATTTCAGGGCTTCTTAGGTATTTCGCAACCATCCGCAGGACCCAAAACAGCATGGCAAGTTACGGTCAATCAGAGAATTTGCTTGCTCCCTTTCTTGCAACCACAGGGGGGAGGGGCAAACAATGACTGCAGGTTTCCTTTGAGTTCCCTTTCCCACATGGACAAGGTACCCTCAAGAATAAATACACGCAACAGCTCGGCTGACAGGACTGGGGAATTACATAAACGTTGGAGGACTGGGTTGGGCCTGCCAGAAGTGGAACACTCGGAAAATGTAGCGCAAGCAAGCATAGAAGCTAGGTCCTCCAGAGGGGTCAGATAAGGCTACCCGATTTTTTTCTCGGAGTCTGTTTTGGTAGGGGCTTGCCCTCCCCCAAAAAACGGTAAAGGGGCACTACTGGGGGACCTAGAAAGTAGCAAAGCGAGAAAGGCACTAAGGCAGAACAAATAAACCCCGAATCCAATGCCACTTTTTGCGGGACTGATCCAAATCCATTCTCTGAATAAGGAAAATGGAACTACTGGAGACCAATCGGATTTTCCTCCTTATCTCCTTATGCCCCCCCACTCTCCCCAGAGTCTGTTTTCCTACTGTGGATGGACGAAACTCTGCACCACTTTGAAACCATGGTTGAAACCACTGTTTGTTGGTATTGACAATAGAGGCGAATCATTCCAGGGTTTCTGAACGGTGGTGCGAAATGGATTTCACAACCATCCGCAGTATGCCCCCCCCCTTACCATAGGCGTCCTTTTAGGGGAAATAGATGGCCCTCGAAGATTAAGCCACCAGGTAAACCAGGAATCGCCATCTATTTCTCTACCAAAACAACCAAAAAGGACACCTATGTCCTTTACGCTGAAACTACTCCGCGCCTCCGCCACGCGGTCCGAAGCCGCGGCGCCCGCGGCCGCGGGCTTCGACTTCGGCGCCGAGTTTTCGTCGAAGTGGTGCCGCAGGAGGCTGAGGCAGGCGCAGTAGCCGTGCAGGGCTCCAGGAGGCGCCGGGGCCCTGTGGATGCCACGGATATGTTTGGGATCACCGCGAACTAATAATCCCGCTCAATTTAAATCGTATAAGGGGGGTAAGTGTTTAGTGATAAATATCCCCGCTGAGTCTAAATCATGTTCTACTGGGGGTCGGTTTTGAGTGGGGAATTCTTTCTTCCAGGACTTCTTTCTGCCAGGGGGGTTAGATTTTAGTGCGGAACTCTTTCTTCCAGTGGATTTCTTTCTTCCAGAGACAGACCCGCTGGCTTCTGCACTCTTGGCGCAGAGGAGTCGAGTTGCGTCTGTTGAAATTCGCTGGCGCGCAGTTGCTCGCTTTCCGCAGTTCAACCAGGGGACTGCACTCAGATCCTAAAGCAAAGTTCACGCCTGACTAATAAAGCCCCCTGTTACTATCCTAAGAGGCATTCCCCTCTTAGGGTTCGACCCCCAAAAGTCGGTGGTTTGTCTTTTGGTTTCCGTTAAAACCAACCGCCAAAAAAAGGGGGCACCCTCAAAAAAGACAGACCCAAATGCCATGGAAATCAACTGGAGGTCATGGCCATGGTGAGCCCCTATGGAGTTACAATCGCCCTCCCGAGGTTGAAGCCATGGGTGGCAGATCCAAAACCTGAACCATGTTGGCTCGGATTCCCAGAAGACATGTCAGCCACGACTCGCACCCCCCCCCAACCAAAAAAAAGGATATGTGGGAGCTCGAAACCCCTCTGAAGTTCAAGAGAACAAATCTTATGTCTATCATGACAAGGGATGCGCGGAAGCGTAAAATAATTGCACTGGGCGAAATAAATTATCGTATGGAGCTTGCCGACCGCCAGTGTGCAGGCACTCGCATATTCCTTGGCTATCTGGCTATCCAGAAGGGTGGGTGGATTTCAAACAAATCCCCACATGGTCAATTCAAATGGGCGACTCAAGTTTTAATAGCATCATTTACATCCCTGGATTTATGGGCACTGCCATTTTGTGCAAAAATCTTCCAAGAGTCAGCGGGGGACCTCATTCTTCCAACCCCAAAACTATGTTGTGACATGATCCCCCAGCATGCGACCTGACCCCCCGTCCCAGTGATTTGTCTGAGGCACCGCGTGGCGCTAGCGACGTCACTGCCTCGCTTGGCGCTCGGCAGCTGAACGGCTTGTCTAAAAATATTTGAACGGATCAAACGCGTGCGCTTGGCTGGCGGCGTACTGGGGGGGGGGGTCTTAAAAGAAGCCGGGAGCGGGTGAAAATAGGGGGTACACCTTTGCCGGCTTGACATTCAAGCAAATACACAAGCAAACATACCGTCATGGCACTGAACCATGGCCAAACATTGCAAATTGGTGCTTTCTGGCAGTGCGTCTGCAAGGTACAGTAACGTGCGGATCAAAATGCAGCGAGCGCCGCCCACATGAGCATGATAGACCACCAACCCAACCCAAACCCAAGGCAACCAAGCAACTCTAAGAACACCAGCAAAAAACACACATACACCAACAACCAAACAACCCACCTCAAAAGCACCAACCAAAAACACCAACAAAAAAAACAACCCAAATCATACACCAACAGCCAAAAAACACACAAACCCCATGCCCCCCATAACCAAAAAAGGAACCCACGGAAGCCCAAGTGCCTGGCACTGGAACCGCCCGCGCAGGTTGCCCGCGCGTGCGCCTCCGGCGCTTTGCCGCGCGCTCCTCAGCGCGCTCCGCAGCCGCCTCTATCACCTGCGGAACCCTCCAGGCATGGAACACTTGGCCATGCAACCTGATTGGGGGGTCATTTGATCCCAAAATTAGTGGCACCCCACCTCTGGTGGACGGCTTGCCGATGGCGCGGCAGGGACCCAGGGAGGGAGAGGGATATGGCCATGGGTCAAAAGCCCGATTAGCCCCCAGTGAACATCCCAATGCACAGTAAAATAGGTTCTAGAATGGGCGGTACACCTACCACAAAATGGTACCTTTGGTTTTGACCCGCAGCCACTTGGGCATCTTTAAGCTCAGTTGCCCAAAGGACAATCTTTTGAAACCTGTACCAAACGTAGACCAAAAGGGGGAACCAGAAGTTCGGTTTTGCACAAGTGCGTAAAGGAAAGAAACCGAAAATGTGTGCCTTCCCTTTCCCCTTCCAACCGCCCAAGGGGAAATGCAGCGCCCTGGAAGACAAATTCCTCAAGCCCCCCTGGTGTTTCCGAGGGCTGGCCACTGATGTTCACAGGCTGCAAAGGAAGCCGGCAGCCTGAAGACAGCATGTATGAAAGATACCATGATTGATGAAAGGCCTACTTCAAATGCGGCTGTGGACCATTACACCAAGTTACTTCATCAGAGTCATAGGGGAATACTGTTTGCAACTCTTTGGCTCCCTACAGTTGGTTGGGCTGGCACAGTTCCCTGCATGGTTTGGTCATTCCCCAAGTGGGTGGCATCCACCTCACCCCTTTCGATTCCCGGCCTCCAGGTCTCGCAAGCCCGGGACCACCGAACTCGCAACTGCTCCTCCAGCCCTCGAGACGGGCTGCTCGAAGATCCGGGCCTCTCCGTCCCAGGACGCGGGCTCTTCGAAGTACCTCCGGCAGGAAACTTCACTTGCTTCCATTTGGTTAAGCCCCCAGGGAGGAAAAAAAACCATCCAGTAGTGATGAATTCCTTTTAAAACCAGCGAGGAAAATAACAAATATTCTTCAACAAATGGAAGCTTGGGTATGGGTCACAATTTCACCAGGAATCAGACCGCAGGTTCCATTTGCCAGACCCAGCCATGTTGAGTGGTTGGGCAGGGAGATGGGTTGAGATGGACCTGTGGATGGTTGCAACCAAGTTGAAACCATAACGTTTGTTGGTACCAACAAGAGAACCATCAGAAACCATGTTTGTTTTTTAGGTGATGCAGGATTTCGTCCATCCACAGCAAGGATTTGCTGGGAACCACATGGTTTGGGGTCGTTCCCTCATTCCGCATGCCTTGCTGCGAACCAGCAAGATGAGGCGAGTGGAGGTTTTAGAGAAAGAGCTCCCATTCATCTGTCTCACTCTCCATCTCTCCCATCTCTCCCATGTGACCTCACGAAGACTCGTGAATCCATTCCGACGTGCGAGAGGGATGACAAAACAAACCGACCGAATGACGGTAGAATCTACTTTTTGCATGGAAGGGAACAGACTCTCATCCTTTCTCTCTGCCTACACGTGTTGTCCCGTAAGCGTATTTTTGGTTCCCCTTGCTTCCGTTGGAGTATCCCTTGCTTCCGTTGGAGCATCAAAGGCGAACTTAGTTCACTCGGCTCTGGGGTTCAATATGTAAGGAACCCGAACCGAGCAAAAAAACAAACGCGAACCTAATCTGCCGGGGTGTAAAAGAAGCAACCGCGCCACGCCTTCGCATATCCCCCAGCTATGAAACATGTAACCCCCAATTTTGTTGTACAGCGAAAAGAGAAATGATGGTACATGTACCAGGGAAGGGTCCTTTTGCTTGGCGCAACACCTTCCACACACTACTTATGGTTTAGTAGGCGGCCAAAGCGCGTGAAACAAACAGAATGAACCGTCAAACATCTTTTTGAGCGCCTTTTTTGCAGCTTTCAGTTGCAACCAAAAGGAAACCACCATTTTGCGCGGTCCCCTCAAAAAAGCCACGCCCTGCCATGTCTTCACAGAACTGGTAGCTCCTTGGCTTCCGGTTCAAAAGCAAGAACAAATACCCCCAGCTCCGGAACGGCTCCCTTCCAACCAGCTAGCACCCATCTCCCCCCCCCCCAGTGCCAACACTTCTGGCCAGCGCACTCCTCCCGGGGGTGATGGTCGAACTCGAAGCCGCTCGACGTGCCCCGGTCCCGGCGGTCCGCGAAGCCCAGGCCCTCCGCGTACTCGTTGTCCGCGCTGCCCGCGTCGCTCCGCGAGCCGTCGGAGCCGTCGGAGTCGGAGCCGTCCTCTGCAGGGCAAACCCGCAGAGACTTGACGTACCCTCGTTCCACCACTTGAAATCAGAGTAAGCTGTGTCGGGTTGGGGAAGACCCCAAATCCTCTCGGAAAGGGATTGTTTGAGATTGTGCCGTAAAATATGTCCACCTCCATAAGTATATTGCAAAACAAAAAAAGGCCACGTACTCCAAGAGCACCCCACAAGTTCCAACCCGGTCGACCTACCGATCGCCCTCATCCATCCTCGCTTCCACTTCCGCTTTTGCCCAGCACACGGGCGCGGAGGCGCTCGGCTTGAGGCGGGCGGCACAGGTTCACCGGCAGCAGCACTGGAGCCATGGCTGAGCCAAGATGGCGGCCGGAGGGGCTCGCAGGTACCTTGTCCCACTTCTTGATGGTTGATCTATCCTAACATCAGCTCAACTCCCGAAGTATTGCCCTGTTTGGAAGCCTTCACACAATTCCTTTGTCGCATTCTTGTTGGCTTCCTTGGAAATGGGGTCTTCCACGATGGCCCCTGGGCGATTCCAATCTGGCCTTCCAGGACCCACTGCGCGAGCTCGTGTTACCCCATGAGCTCGCCAGAAATCCCCGCCGCCCAGAAAAAAAACAACAAAAAACACAAACGCGGACGCGATGTGGTGCCAACTCTGTCTCCAGTTGCCCAGTGACCCTAAGGAACACACCCAAAGCGAAATCCTCAGATTACGAAATCTCAAGAACTGCGAGTATGGGATCGCCCTACAGTTGCCCTTTACGGACCCAGACAGGAAAGGTGATCATTGTTCGGGGCGTTTATGAAAAGTAGACAAAAAGGTAAACAGAAAGGTCATTTCAGGTCAATTCGCCGTGCCTTCGGGGGGGGGGGGGGTGGTCACCCTTTGTCAAGAAGAAGCGAAGATCTGGACTTGTCGGAGAGGCGTTCACCCCCCTTTTCCCAGGTTGAAAACCTCGGTCATGTCAGCCAATGCAGCTGGGCAAACGATTCCGAGCTTACAAAAAAGATTGCCCTCCCGACTGTATAACATGGAACCTGATGGTTTGGGTCCGGGAAGACAGGATTCTTCTAAAAGGAACTCTCTGGATTCCTTCGTGGGAAGGGTAAGTGGCTGCTGCTTCAAGGGAAAGCATGAAGGAGACCCACCAGAACCAAGATCATTTACCCTCCACTTAACATGGATCCTGACAGCGACCCGGTCCCTTTAGAAGGAAAACGGTCCTAACCAGCACGCCCCGAACCTCAGGTTCCATGCTAATTGGTGAGCCTGGCAGAGCCAAGTGCGAAACCCTGAGCTGAGGGGAAGGCCTGGCACTGCGGACCGAACGCATCTAGAGCCCAAATTGTGCCCAGCGAGCGAGCGAGTGAGTGAGCGGGTATAGCTGGGCTCCTTGGTCTCCCGCCCTGCCAACGCCAACAAAAATTGGCTTCTGAATATATGGCCATGGGTCAAAATCCAAATCGTACCCCCAGAGAACATCCCAATCCCCACTAACATAGGTTCTAAAATGGGTGGTGAATTCACCTACCCCGGTTTTGACAACCACAGCCATACGAGAAACATCCCGAGGGCCGTCTCTTCAGCGTGATCCGCCTCCCGGAAGCTCCAACCCGGCTCCGAGACCCCGAGTGCCGAGTGCCCACGTGAACTAAGCGCCACATTAAAAGTCAGGGTCCAACCAGTAAAAAAATGTATACGGAGAATCGGCTTCGTTGCTTTTTATGGGTGTGGCTCACCGTTCCATTTCGGGTTCAACATTTGAGCCACTCATTGAGTTGCGCCGGGAGAGATCTCCCAGCATCAAGGCTTCGGGGCAGCTGAGCCGGGTTGCAAGCGGTTTTCGGGGAAGCCTTTGCTTACACGAGTTCTATGAGCGGTTCCCCGGAAAGCCCCAGATACCGTATCTACGGTCCCATCACGGAATGATGCTTGAACAAACCTGAGCAAATGCGCATGAACCATGGCTGTGTGACTTCGAATGCCTGCAGATTTCACCGGTAATTGCACTCAGTTGCCCAAAGGACCTAGAAATACAAGGTTAACCTTTTGGAACCATAACTAAACATGGACCAAAACAGGAAAACCAAAAGGTCAAAAGGTCAGTTGTGAACAACTGAGTGCATCATGCCATGAGCACGCCACCCGCTTTCATCGGCTGTGACCACGCAGGCTCTCACTGAGGCATGCCCCACATGCCGTCTCTGTCCGCGTGAGATTTCTCAAATCGAGTCTCAAACTAAGCTGTCCAGGCGGTGTTGGGTGGATCAAGAGAGCCCTGTGCAAGCCAAGTCGGCCACTGGCAACTGGCAACTGGCTTGAAGTTTATCTGAATGTAACCAAATGGAGCAACCCTATCACCACGCACACACCTTAAGGGCATGGTTTGCCACCTGGAGGGACTTATCGGCAATTGAAATGGCCAGGCCCCGTCACTATGCAGTCTGCTTCAAGATCTGCATGAATTTTGCAGCGTGCAGAACTGACGACCTCCTAATCTCTGAAACTAGCCAAGAACCAACAAATCGCAGTGTGGACAGCGCCTTCTGGCTCCACCACCGCTGTGTCACGAGGCATATGTACCGAACAGATGCTTGCACGTCACTACACCCCAACCATGCTTCATTGTGACTGCCTCATCGACTCTGCCTCACCATGCGCTGGCAGTTGAAACTATGACTGAAGGATGCGAGTACGGACTCTTCAGTCAGGCGAACATCGCACGTGCAGTCCAGTGACTGCGTCCCATCACCGCATGGGGCTGTCTTACCGTCGGAGAAATGCCATGGGCACCGCGCACGGGCGCACAAAAGAGAAGTTCCACAGCACACAAAAGACGCCATGGGCACTCGGCCGAACTCAGCAGTTGCAGTGCGCGGGTGGCGAAACCCACCTTCTAAATCCAGAGCGCAAGCTTGGCTCTCCCCCATACGTGCACTGCGATCCAAGAACTGCTAAACTAAACCAACAGCATGGTTTTGTCGTTGCTCATGCTGGTTGCATTTCGCTGCCCCTGCACGTGTGGGGCCGCGGCTCGCTCCGCGCCGTCAGACTGTTTGACTGCTAGACCAGGATGTGGCTTCAGCACTCCCCTGGTAACATCCTCGTAAATCGATGGGTTTTTTTTCGAAGCGAGGCCCGTAACTATCAAAGAGTTGAGGCACCAGGTGTCACAACTTTGACAATTCGCCGGAAGCACCACCGGGAAGCAGGGAAACTTCCCCGCCAACTGGCAATGCTTGGCTCCAAAACTTGCGTCTTGTGTCGACTCGGACCACTAGAAGGTTGAGGATGCTTTCGTGCTAATTACTTGCGGGGTGCTCGTCTGTTTGTGCGAGTGATAGACTTCAACCTCCTCCAAAGCATGCACATCAGATCCCTCAGGTTGGGAGCATGATCCACCACCAACTCTGACAGCTATTTACTGGCCAAAGTCTTCCCGTGGTCGACCATCCTGAGCACGATGCAACGAGCCACCCAAAAGCATGCACATGGCTTGGGCAAATCCAAACAAAGTTCTCAGCAGGGAATGAAGGAATGACCCCTTTGAACCATTCCTTGCGGTTTCCTTGAAGGGGACCCCATGGTTCATTCCCCACACCCGGGGTCATTCTCATTCCCTCTTGAGCACCAGCAAACAAACCCTCACAGCTGGTGCCACAAATCAGGCCTTCACCTGAACGATCCCTGCCCTTGTGCTTGACTTGGATCACCGACAAGCGCGCGACGCGACGCGACGCGAACGGCTGGGGGCCCCCGGCACCCGAATGCATCTGTCGTCTTAGAGCTTGCCTCAATACCCGGCCCCAGAAAAAAACAGCGAATGGACATGAGGTGGAAGAAAGCAACGCCACTGCGAGAAACCGATTGGTCCTGGAATTTTGGGGATTAAAGAGTGGTTCTAGCCGGATGTGCCACGAAAACAGGCTCTCCTCTGAATCTTCAAATTTTGAACCTGCCAAAACGCACTTGGAATGGTGGAATCATGGGTCAAACACAGAAAACCGGTGCATTTGTCAATCACCCCAATTCCCCGCATGCGTTGCCTCGAATTGGCGAATCAGAATTCCATGGGTCTCTGCGCGAGAACAAAAACTCAAATTCCTTGAAACTTGGCCAGAAAACGTCTCGCTTTGGCGTGGCCCTCTCGGCGAATATCGTTTACATGGCACGAATTCTCGCGCAAATGGATGGACCCCATGAAACCAGACTCCAATAAATAATCCGTGGGGGAAGAATGCTTCGGCCTAGATCGAGATTTTAGAACTGGGCTTGAATCAAGGGAAACCAAAGGGAAACCAAAGGGAAACCAAAGGGAAACCAAACCCTGTGGATCCATTTACCTGTTAGGTAATCATGAGAACCATCCTTTTGTTCCCAAATGGAAAATGGCCGGTTCCCTACAAGGGTAACTGGGATCCACTGGGAAACAAAACACTACCATGCTTGGGGATCCGTGCCTCCCGTTTCTTACAGCGATTTTTTTTCGCACGAAGGCACTGGAACTGGTTGAGCAGGGTCCCCCTAGGCCCTATCCCCACCCCCGACTACCTCGCCTTTGCATGGTGGACAGTGTTGCCACCTCCTCTTTTTTTGTGGGGGTTCTTGTTTTCTAGGGTTTGTCTGCGAAATAGACTCAAAAGTCGCTCGATCTCCCAATCACAAGTTGATAAAATTTGCTGGTTTTTCATGGACACCATTTGCCCTCTAGGCGTCCCCTACCCCATGGTATGGTTTTGCTGCATCTCCTCTGGGCTGAGTCCCGTGCCCGCAACACCGCCCTAGCGACATGGGGGCGTCGTGAAATCGAGCGGAAAATGTCCCTATTTGGTGCTTTGAATTGGCGGTTTGGGGGCCCAGGTGCGTGGAGGGGAAATGGGAAACCCCTCTGGAACACCACCAAACCACCAATCCAAGCCACCAATTGGAGGGAAGCTGATGTGAGGGTCCCAACTTGCTCCCAAAAACGCAAATCTCAGGGCGGTTAGCAGAGCAAGTGCTTGTTCGCGCTGCTGCACATCTTTTTGGGGGCACTGAGGGAAGTCACTGAGCCAGGCGCCATCTCTGCCATGCCTAGCTGCGCCAGCAAAGTGGATGCAACCTCAGCAAAGGCAGCCGAAATCAAAGCCTGGGGTGATTGCCCCGAGCCACCTCACCAAACTAGAAATCAGTTTGGGTTTTCAGCCAGGGGACATACAACAGAATTTGGGGCGCCTTTTGGTGAGCGTCCTTGCAATGGGGATGTATGTCCACCCATGTTTTGAGGGCGTTCCCCAGCAACATTGCCAAATCCCTCACGTATATTGCGCCCGGCTACGCCTCTGAGCCGTTGTGTTTTGTGTTCTGCGTGGCCTGCCAGTGGCCACATCTTTCGCCATGAAATGCAGCCAAGGTACGTCGTACCTTGCATTTCCCAAGTTCCTGCGTATCGGCGGAAGGCCCGTGAACGTGCCTTTTGCTCAGGGAGTTTCCATGACCCACCTCTTGAATTCTGAATCAGGGCTGAAGCCACGGCCACACCCCGCTCTGCGCCGTTCATTCAGAAACCCGGTCTCCAAAACTCCACGTCCACGCCTGTCGGCAGGAGCCTGGGCGTTTTGAAGTAAAGTGGGCAGAGAAGAAAACAAGGCACACAAACTTCAGTACAGGGCTCTCTCTTTCTGTTGAAGAAACACATTAAGTACCATTTCCCTGTAATTACAAGGGGCTTGTCCAGACAAAGAAACCTTGAGGCTGCATGAGTCCTTGAAAAGCAAGCGCTAGCCGCTTTCCACGAAACTCAGCCCACAACTCCCCGAATGCAACGCTCTCCAAAACAAAACGCCAATCATATCATATCTTCCAGGATGCCCGAACTTCCACCCACTGAGAGTGATAGATCCAATTCGGGAACTCCTACTTTCCGTGTCGGCGCGGGCAACAAATACGACAACCCTTGCTTTGCAGCCGATGGGAATGGTGTGTGGTGTGTGGTGTGTGTGTGTGGCAAATGTGTGTATGTGACAGCGCGACAGTGTGACGGTGGGACAGTGTGACTGTGTGGCTCTCTGTGTGTGTCTGTGTGGGTGCGTGGGTGTGTGAGTGAATCCGCGTGTGCGCTATTGTGCGTGTGCGAGCCTGTGCGAGCATGTGGGTGTGCTGGTGGGCGTGCGCGTGTGCATTTGCTCTTCTGATTGTTGGGATTCCAATCAGGCGCGCTTCTTTTCAGCGCCTTGTGCCAAATGGCATGTCGCCATTCGATCATCAACTGTTCCACTGATAAGTACGAATACTACTCTTGTGAATGTACATCCCCCTGCGCCGCTTCGCCGCACCAGGACTCAGAGGCCTTGGCCTCCTC